AAGGCAGACAGAACAATCAGATGGAAATAATGTCAAGACCTAACAGACGTTTCCTGTTTACAGAGGGAAGGCTGACTGGACATGACATAGATAGTTTCCAATTCCTTCAAATGAAGTAAAAAATGAGCATGAATAAGGATGGATAAAATGATCAAGGCTAAAATTGGTGGCACACCTTGCGTTGTTTATAAGGTGCTCTTTATTACATACACCGTGTTTTCGAAAGTTTGTCAAGGTTCAGGGGTACACCAATTCGGTCGCTGGGATTACAAACGTAGCCCGATTTCGAACCTAAAAGAAAAAAATATTCTCCCTTTATTAAGCTCTTGTGTGCACAGTCCAGTAGATATAATCTATTCAGGAATAAAACTTACCATTACCTGCTAATCCAGAAGCTTTTTAGATGGTGTGGATTAAGTATACCGGTGTGTGCATTCGAGAGTCTTAATGAAGAAAATCGTTTTAATTTATGGGCTAAGAAATTTTCTGTATGCACATGAATATATATTATTTGCTTGTGAAATTCAAGATCTAATTTGGCTTTCGTTTCTGCCAGGAACAGATAGGTTTTTGTTCAATTTCCCAAGATATTTCTCTTCCCGTTACGACACGGCATCATTTCGGGCCGCTCTTTGGTTCCGTATCATTTTGCAAAATGACAACGATTCTAAAATTCAACAAGGCCTAGCACGCTAGAAAGGTTTGGCTTGGTTTGTTTTTCGGCATATCAAAACCAATGGGTTATTTAATGCCGACAACTTTTTTCCTGGTAATATTTTGTTTTATCAAAAATCTATTTCTGGTAATATTTTTTCCTCAAAAATGTATAGCTTGTAATATTATTTTAAAATATGTATTGCTTGTAATATTTAAAAAAAAAAACGTATTGCTGGTAATAGTTTTTTTTTTTTTTTTTTTTTTAAAAAAAACGTATTGCTGGTAATTGTTTTTTCTTCACAAATTTTATTTCTGGTAATAATTTTTTACAAATTATTTCTGGTATTAAAACTTTTTTTAAAAGTAAAAATTTTTACACTTTAATAATGCTTTTTACCTCTTTTTTATAAAGTAAAATTTTTTACACTTTAATAATGTTTTTTACCTCAGTTTCGGGGTTAACAGCTACCACAGCTGCTACCACACAAGGTCAGGGTGGACCTGGGAGCACCAGCAATTAAGAGTTGGTTCCACGTCCCTCAAAACCTCCTGATCAGAGGCCTTTGTCGTAGTTTATCGTCTTACCCAGGACACGGATGTAGTTTATCGTCATACCCAGGACGGCACGCTAGAAAGGTGTAAGATTTAGTTTTTACATAAACTGTCTGGAATTTTAGATTTTAGAGGCAACGAACAATTTCCAAGATTATAATTCCATCAAATCTACACAATTCATTATCAGTAGTCATCTCATTATGATTTGGCAGTGCTCATAAAATAGTCAACATAAAAATGAATAACGGCAATGAAGTTATTCTTGACATGTAGTAAAATTATTTGAAATTTTCTCTTGAGTTTAATGTTTTTAGCGCTTTCTCTTTGCCACTATCTCTCTTTTTCTCTCTCTCTCTATATATATATATATATATATATATATATATATATATATATATATATATATATATATGGGAGATGCCTGCGTGTGTATGTATGGAGAATGAGAGACATGGTGAATTAAAAAGTTTGGTGTTTTTATTTGATATTAATAATGTTCAGTACTCAAGAGAACGTTTACCGATATAATAAGTGTGGAAAAAGGAATCGTCAGTATATATTGACTGTCAGTTTCACATCTCCAGCTGTTTTCAGGCCATGTCCATCCCTGTATTTATTTCCCTCTCAAGTAAACATTGCCGGACAAAATCTTAAGACAAATGAAAATAGAGAAAAAAAGAAAATTGATATGTGATTTGTTAAACTTAGCCACTTATTTAAATAAAGCCTTGAAAAATGAAAATTGAAAAAAACGAAAGCGAATTCTTCCCGCAAACACTAGCTGTTCATATCTTCGGTGTATCCATGTGAATCATTCCCAACTTCATCAAATTGTGAATAGACCCTGGGCTTGGCAGCTCTGGCAAACAACGAGAAGCCATCTTTAACACCCCACCCACCAAAAAACAAAAAAAACAAAAAAAAAAAAAACAAGGAAACGCAGCATGAGTCAATTGCTTTTTTAGCGAATGTATCGGAACGGTAGAGTATACTCATAGCCAGTCAGTTATGTGCCATACGTGATACACGCTTGGGCGATCATGGATCTTTCGAAACATGACTGACAAGGCAGATTTTTTTCCGGCAGTAGGTTGCCATTTTTTCTACGTTAGACCAGTTGCCAGCGAGGGCTAGAGAAACCGGTCTCTCCTGCTATTAGATTGGTGCAAAAATAATGTCGTTTTTTGACGTTAAGTTGAACGTCAAAAACGACATTATGTTTGCACCAACCTAATATTTACCCATACCTGGGTGGGGAGAAAAATAGTATTCATACATTTCCCAAGGTTATTAGCACGTAAGCGAATGTAATGGATTCGACTGGAATTCGAACTCAGCACTCCGATTTCTCAATCCGAGCCGCTTTATGGCATTGGGTCGAGGACATTATTTTCACTGTTTGGGAAATCCTCTTTCGGGATCGCAAAAGACATGTATTGTCTATCCGACTTAATCTCAACCATGAGGCTAAATCTTAATTTTAATGGTGATATTCTCATTATCTGATCTCATCGGCGAACTTGGTTGAAAACAATCAAACAAATACACGACATTCATGTTTGTCTTTCTCTTGCTGTTTAAACTATTGAACACATAGGATTCTCAGCTTTTCAGAGCAAGGGTGACTGTTCATTGTCAAATCGTTGTTAATCTGCATAGATGAAGTTTTCGTCATATCATAATCTCGGTCTGGCCAACTCGAGGCGTTGTAATGGTTAGCTAGCTTGTCTCGCTCGAACAATTACGACTGGGTAGTGAGTTCGATTCTCATTAGGTGCTCCCTATATTCGGCCTTGTTCCACATCTAAGCTACGCTTGGAATATCATTTGCGCACCTCGAGGCGTTGTAATAGTTAGCAAGCTTGTATCGCTAGAACAATTCCGACTAATATAATGAGTTCGATCCTCATTAGGTGCCCCCTACATTAGGCCTTGTGCAACATCTAAGCTAAATGCCTATCATAATCTCGGGCTTTTGTAGCATGCCACACGTTATGCTGCATATCCACAAGGATTCCTATAGATTCACCGTCATTAGTCTATTATTCATGCATTATTAACTGTGTTACTTCGAGAGGTATGTGGCTCTTTACGACGCACGGCTAATCTTCATTATGGAGAGGATATTACAAGGCTGCTACTGCAGTACCTCTATTGCATATTTGATAATTTACTCGTTTTGTGTGCATAGAACCAGACAATGACACCAAAGATAAGCGATCTTGAAATGGTACACCACGGATAGACTCCTTAACTTTAAGGGGTGGGGTGTTAACATTGATAAATTCAGAAAGATTATATGGGTTGTGACAGGCATCATCGATATGATTTCCCACCTTGAAAAAAGGGGCAGAAGGCATGAAATGGTAAAGTGCCATGATTGATTTGATTGTAACAGAGTATACAATTGTGTGTTCATTTGTGTCTTACAGAACCCAACCATGCGTATATATATATATATATATATATATATATATATATATATATATAGTTGTATATTTAGTCAGCAACCCTTCCTTTATGCATGTTTCATTAAAAAGGACAGACAAGGTACTACGGTTAAGCTTTTTTATCTAATGTTTCTTGTGTTCGAAAAAGTGTTTTTTTTTCTGGACAAAAGGTGTGTAAGAACTGTCCAAATGTTTTATATTTCCGAACGCTTTCGGCTATACCTTTAGCCATTATCAAGGATGATTCGATTTTTCAGTTTAATTGAGTGTGTGCGTTCTATGTATGTCTTAGTGTGTGGTAGGGATGTTTTTAATTTCCGAATACTGTTAGCAAATTGTGGCTTTGTTCGTAGTTAATATTGTTAAGTGTTGGCCTTTTCTTTTTATTATTAAAGCTTCCATTATTTTAATTTTTTTTTGCAGGTGGATGCAGTTAATATATTTGTGTTTTCTACTAGTATGTTCCTAATGGAGTCTGGTAAGTTTGTGTGTGCGTTTAAAAGGGCTCTAATGGAGCTGGGGTCAGATAGGTTTAACGTAAGACGTCTGGCTAAGCATGTCGTTGTGTAACCGATGTAATTATTTATGGGTCCGGTTTGATCAGGAACACAGTTCCTTAAGGGGCATTTGAACTCATAGATAATGTTCGTTTTTTGTAATTTTGAATTAGCTGGTGTGTTGTTTTTTTGATGATAAGATTAGCTGTCTTAAATTTTTATAATAGATAATCAATTTGATTTTTTTATTCGGATCAATTGGAGTAGTATATTTCTTTATAATATGCCTTAGGGAAGAGTCGTCTTGTTTGTAATTAATATGCATTTGTTTTTTGTTATAAATGTGTATGTGATTTTTGGCTGTGTGTTCACTATCGTTATTACTTACTTTGGGGAGAAATAGTCTAATTTGGTGGTCTATAAGTTGTTTGATAATGCTAAAGATATAGCTGAAAGCGCTCGGAAATATAAAACATTTGGACAGTTCTTACACACCATTTGTACATTAAAGAAAGCTCTTGTTCGAACACAAGAAAAATTAAATAAAGAACTTATCCATAGTACCTTGTCTGTTGTTTTTAATGAAACATATATATATATATAGTGTGTGTGCGTTTATTTCTGTGTTCACGCATGCATGTGTGGCTGTACGCGTCTGCGTGTGTATAGACGTGTTATCTGAGTTGAATGTTTCAAATACAGAGTCTTTATATTTGGGTTTTATCCCAGTCAGTAATCCTAGTCGGCTAACTTTTAAAGACTAAATTCGTCATTTAATGTATTCGACGTCTTTTGTTGTCTTCAATATGGCCAGATTCAAAAGGCGAAAGTCACAGAATACCGAATGGGGATAAGAAATAAAAGAGAAAAATGAATCTTAGATGAAGAAAGTCGTTTAAAGTCTCACTCGGATAACGCAGACGCATGTTTACGTCAAGGAAGGAAAGAACTTCACGTAAAAGTTTCGAATGGAAGACAAAATTTGTTAATGTAAGAAAGTAAAGTGACAAAGGTGAGGAAAAAGATGAACGGAAATCATATCGGAAAAGATGGTGTTTGAAGAATACGCTAAGAAAAGAATGGAAAAATGATAAAAAAAAAAAAACTAAGGAAAAAAGAGGCAATATGAAATGGGAAATGATTTATACCTTATTAAATAAAACCAAAGTCAAACAACTGTGGACTTCTTCAAAGAACTATACATACATACATAACTGTGGACTTCTTGAAAGAAGTACACACACACACACACACACACACACACACACACACACACACACACACACACACACACACACAAAGAGTAATTTAAAAATGCATGTGGAAAATTAGAAAAACAAAATCAAAAACAGGAAAAACAGCGAAATCGATAAAAGGACGAAAACACAAAAAAGCTAATGAAAGAGTGTAGGGAAAGATGAATAAATGAGGAAAAATGAAAAGTGGAAAATGAAATGAGCTATAAAAAGGTCACAATGAATATGACTAAACATAGAAGTATAGAAAAGGTACAAAAAGCAAAAATAAAATTAAAAAAAATACAGCGAATAAGAAAGAAAATAAGACAAAGTAAACAATGAAAAAATGTAGGCAAAAAGAAACAAAGTATAAGAAAGAGGGAAGCAAGAATCTAAAAAAAGTACATACAGGTATAGTAACAGAAAGAAAATTAATTTCTTGTTATTATAGGTAAAAAAGAAATGACATACATAAGTAATATATAACAGAAATGACATGTATAATTAATATTCTTTTAAATCATTTCACCCCAGGCAAGGCGGGAGTGCTACTAGCGCGCAAGGGATTACAGAGATTAAAAGTAAGAGTAAAGAGGGGTGTTTGAGGAAAGGATAAAGAGAAGGACGGGGATCAAGAACAAGGCATGAGAAGATGTCGATTGACATTATATAAGCATATTTGAAGATTATAGTTATCAGGGAAGGAAGTAAGATGGTTTCACTGTTGGGAAGAGCGAGAAAAGAAGCTGTTGGAGTAGAAGAGGCGGTTACCTTTAACTGTTTCGAGAGTGAAAGAGTTGGACCGAGATGCTAACCTAGTAGCACTCTTAAATGCATGCAGTTGGGGCACCAGTGAAAATAGCTTGTCAGAGCATTTGTCATGAAAATATTAGTAGAAAAGACAGAGAGAAGCCACATCACGTGTGTGAGAAAGTGACTGGAGTCAAGATGCCAGATCAGGACCTATCACATTGCATAACCGTCTTTGGATTTTGTCGAGGACCTCGAGATGAACAGCCGGGGCACCAGGCCATATGTGGTAACAGTATTCAATGCCAAGACGAATGGTAGATTTGTAGATTTGAAGAATGGACTCAGACGAAAAAAACCTTCTGGCGCGACACAGAGAACCAACTTTAATAGAATATTGAAATATGATTTAAGCTCACTGGAATGACCAACACAAATGATGTAAATTAAAAGAAGTAAAATAAATCTTACCCAAAAGGAAAGTTAAGACAAAATAAAATAAAATCGTACTGGGAAGAAATAAGCTTAAATCGTCATCAAACCATATCAACATCATCATCATCATCAGGAGCAGCAGCAACCGCTTCATGATCCAATGTGGTCGTATTGTGGCTGTTCAACTAATCACCTGACTAGTCCCTAACTTTATCTGTGTCGAAATCCGACGAAGTATTTATTCAAGCGTTTAACGCAAGTAGACATGGCGGTTTCCATCCACCTCCCTACAGCCGATGTTCGCCCATGTGAAAGCTCGCCTATGTCGTGGTCCTTAATTCTATCCGAGGGATACCTCCACCCTGGCGTGTGACTTCAATCTAGGTATCCCTTCGACCAGTGATGCCGAGAATTAAACAAAGTGAAATCGACAAAAACACCAAATGACTGGAAAAGCGTAACACAAAAGAAAGACTGTAACGAAGAACGAATAATATTTCAGTAAACGGGAACAGTGGGAAATGAAACCAAATGAATGAGATATATCTGTATAGAAATGTAAATGAAGAAGAAACGGTGGTGGGGCTGAAACAAAGGAAAGGCGTAAATATGAACAGGAAGAGATAGACAAAAATAACAAAATATAGAGGAATGTCATATAAGCAAATAAAAACCAAAATTAATTCCCAGCCAGCCAAAATCTCTGCAGTAACCTATACCCTATCGACTAATCACTGACTGGATAATAGAGCCGGTTCACATCAAAGCAGCTATTATATTTGTGAAGAACTGGCCAATTTCTCCTGTCTTCTTGAACGCAATTTATAAAATGCGCAGTAAGACTCAAACGGAATTGCAACCAATATGGCGGATAGCCAGTTTTGTAGGAGAGGAATATTAAGATATCAAAGTATGTAATAACATATAAAACGCAACTAAACAGATATATTTAAATAGGTATGTATTTAATATATTTGCTGTTTATAGGTTATCATTATGGATGCACTTATTTAAGTAAATGCATTGTACGACGAAGGTGTATGTTTAAAAGCTTTGTTTAATCGGAAGTTCTTTCTGGCTGAAAGGTTATAGCATGTCAGGCTTAATGGTGTTTCCTCATATGATGCAGGTTCAATTCCTGCCGTAAAAAGGATATATTCTAAAAAAATTCTCGAATATTCAGGCCGGTAAATGTAATTAATATTGTTTAATTAAAGAACATATCATTTATTTAAATAACTCTATCCATAAAAATAACTTATAAACAGAATATATATAATTTAGTTATATATATATAATTTAGTGTCGACTGGTTAACCGTGTTGGCCCGGTCACACTCTGTATTTCATCTGAAGGTTCTGGAGGCACTTTACATCGGGTCCCGCAAGCCTTCTTTGTGCAAACAACGTGAGTGTTTGCTGGGACTCGCTGTCATCTGCCTCTAGTTCCTTCTTGCATATATACAAACACATATATATATATATATATATGTGTAATTTTTTTTTCCACCTATTCTGATTGTACCTTTCTCTGTTTTAATTTTGAATCTCCCGTGGAAGCCTAACGAGCGGGAGCGAAACCGGTTACTTCCCCCCTTGTTGTTGAGTTTTTTTTTTTTTTTTATTATTTAATATTGTTTTTAATATGTCTTGTAATATTAAATTTTATACTTTTATTTTCGATCATTAAATTTTGTACCTACAAAATATCTTTATATATATATATATATATATATATATATATATATATATATATATATATATATATATATAGTCATCCACAGAGAGAATGTTTCGCTGTATCACAGCTCATCAGTTTACTATACATGAGATTGTTTCAAGCCGGAATCGAAACCCGGACGATTTAACATCCGTTGGAATCTCTCCTGCTTAGTAGAAAGGGAATTATTAACGCATTATATACGAGATATAAGCATTATAGGCTACCAGAATGCTCAATTAATAGCGAAGATCTTTTAGCGTTAATCAGCAGCGGCCGACAAATTCCGTTTCTTCCCAAATGATCAACCTCTGAGAGGGGGCGTATATAGTCATCCACAGACAGACTGTTCGCAGCGAAAATCAGTATGGCTAGACATGAGGTTGCTTTAAGACGGAATTGAAACCCGATTTCACGTCAGTCGAAGTCACTCACTGTTAGACTACCAGCGCACACAACCAAGAAAAGGGAATTTTTAACGCATTATATACTAGATATAAGCCTTACCGGCTACCAGAGTGCTCAATTCATAACGAAGAGCTGTTAGCGTTAATTAGCAGCGGCCGACAAATTCCCTTCTTCCAAAGTGCTCAACCTATTAGAGAGGCGTATACACACACACACACACACACACACACACACACACACACACACACACACACATATATATACATATATATATATATATATATATAAGAAAAACAGACCACTTTAAGGTACCATTATAATAATTTATTTCACCAGAGCCCTTTTAAAGGAAGCCGGATCATCAGATAGCACTTCAAAAAATGAATTGAAAGGAAAAATGAAATTAAAATTGATGGGTAGTGTAAGTTTTTGTAATTTAACAGAGACTGTAAAAGGGGTAGTTAAAAAGACATGGTAGAGTATAGGGAGGGATTAATTTCACATCTCTCTCAAGCATACTTTGTATTCGGGGAGGAGGAGGACCAGACGTTGACGTATATATATATATATATATATATATATATGATATATATATATATATATATATATATAGATATCACCGTTACAGAGAGTCACCATGCATATTTGATTTATTTACCAAAACTGTTCAAAATGTATAACGCACTTACCTCCTATAAATATATAAAAAATTCAATGTGTGTGTCTGTGTTGAAAATTATTTGTTATTTGGTTAATTTCGGAAAGTTATTAGAGTAATCCACAAGCTATACTAGGAGCAAACCATCTGCATGCAGATAAAAAAAAAATTAATTAACTGTAAAATCGGTGACAATCTTAACGACGTAAGAGTTGTGGCTTACATCGTGTTGATAGGAGACACGGATGGCAGAGTGTAGGAACTCCTAAGTAGTAAATGAAAGTAAAATGAATGGAATAAAAAATCAATTGCAAGAAAATTGTTATCAAAAAGGAACAAGCCAACATACAAATTACAAAATGCAGACACAAATAAAAAGTACTTTAAAAAATTAAATGTCTAACAGAGGTTGGAAAATGAGACCGCAAAACAGAAATAGCGAAAAATATATTGCAGCAGAAACAGTTAAGCAAAATATTAAGAAACAGAAAAATTTAGTTAGAAACAAAAGCAGCTGAATTACAATACAATATCACTCTCCATATATGGCAATGAATGCTGGACATTGACTCCGCAGATGAAGTAAAGATTTGCGTCAAGCGTAATGGATACCCAGAAATATGCGTGGACTGTTTATTTAAGGAACGCAGCAGTTTTAAAGGGAATACTAATAAATGTACACTTCTTGTTATAATCAGTATGAAGTAGTTGATATTTCTAGTGGGTATATTGCGGAAAGAGGGCTTGGAGAATGTGATACCCGCATGACATATTGAAGAAAATAATGATAGACGAAAACAGCGAATAAGCTACTTAACAAGAATCAGTGATTATGATGGATATCAAAAACACAAAACTAATTCAATTCAACAAATTTATGATGTTGTGCAGAGACATGATCACCCACATTCTGAAAGTACACGCACATAGAAGAACAAGAATTCGGATCCACAGATTCTTCGAAAATTATCAGTTTTGATTATCTAGATTTTTCCATTCTCATGTTTGATACAGAAAACATGGCGTCATACAGATCTTTTAATTTATCCGGAAGCCAGATATTTTGGGCTTTTTATAAATTTTAAGTATCGTTGAACTGAATGTTATTACTGACTGTGCAGAAGATTACGTGTTCAGCAACGATACAGCTGATGGAGGTCCCAAAATTGCATAAAATGATGTAAAGTGTAAGAGACTTTGGGGATAATTTTTCTTGGAGAGTACTTTGAAGTAATTATAAAGGAAGGTAATTAACACCAATATGCCCATGTATTTATATATCCATGTGGCAATACTTGTGATTAAACGCATACTTCATGACTGAAAGTAATTTACAGACACCGAACAATTGAATAGTGTTTTACTCGGGTATAAAATTGCTCTTCAAACGTTACAAGGTTTCTGTGTTCATAGAGCAATGTATTTAAGCTTAAAAATGGAAATAACGACTTTCGAAATGAGGATTAAAATTATCGAAATTTTAAAAAGAATGTAATAAAGGGAAATCGCAAGTAGCTTTTCAGCAACAAAACATTAGGTTCAAGTCATCCACTAAAAGCGTTCTGATATTGAGATTTCGATAGGAAAATGGGAGACCTTAGAAATTGGATAAAAGTGATGAGGGAAAGCTATGTTATTAATATACAAATCCCATTTAAGAGCTCCTCAATAATGAACGAAAGCAGTATGACTACTGAAGTGTCATTTCATACAAAAAAAAAATCTACTGCGTAATTTCTTTTACTAAATTACACCCGGAATACACACTAAAATTAGACTGTTACCTTCGTAATGTTTATCCTGAATGTCGTGTGATATGAATTGAGTACAATTTTATAAGGAGTAGTGATTATAAAGATAAGAAAGATACCGTTGTACTCTTGACCAGAAGAGGTCAAGTAATCTAAATAGATACAAAGCCGCAAAAATAGCCATCACTAAAATATCGAATTACAAGAAAATACTGGGTAAAAGAAATTCTACTATAGAATAATGAGAATGGGAAAAGTGATACATTTAGTTTGTTTTGTTTGTTTCACGGCATATCAACCTCAATGTGTTATTTAACGCTAAAAAAATTGTTGTTAATATTTTGTTTCAAAAATATATTGTTGGTAATGTTTTTCTTCAGAATCTATTTCTGGGAATATTTTTTATCCAAAAATCTATTTCTGAGAATATTTTTACTTCAAGAAATCTATAGCTGGTAATTTTTTTTTCAAGAAAATGTATAGCTGTTTCTATTGCAGGTGTTTTTTTTAAGTATTGCAGATAATAATTTTTCCCAAAAAATTATTGCTGGTAATTTTTTTATAAAGTATTTCTGGTATTAAAACCTATTTTTACACAAGTTTGGGTGTTAACTATTTGCCCATAGCTGGGACCATAACAGTTGCAACCATACTGGATCAGGGTGGACCTGGGAACACCAGCAATTAAGAGGTGGTTCCACGCTCCTCAAAACCTCCTGATCAGAGGCCTTGCTGTTGGACGTAGTTTATCGTCTTACCCAGGACGCGGATGTAGTTTATCGTCATACCCAGGACGAGAAAAGTGATATATAGTGAGGAACATAAAATAGAACTGAATTCTTACGGAAAAGATCCTGTCAGAAAATCAATTTGTCAAGAAGCAAAATAAAATAGTATCTTTGCCTGATTTTCCTTTAAGAACGAAATCTCTACTGAGCGATATGCACATAACTCCTTCTGTGATCTCTGTTCTCATTTCTAAACTAGATTCCCAGAAGGGCAGCGGATTCAACGGTATTTCCTGAACCGGCTGTTATTCTCTCCAAACTCTAAAATAAATGCATTGCTTTGTTCTTTACAGCGTTATGGAAATCTTATATAATTCATTTCTTTCAAATTCTC